TTAAACTTCTTGGTTCTGAGTTTGAGTATAGTTGTATCATCATAATCTCTGCATTTTTAATATAGTTGTAATAATTTAATCATTATTTTTTACTTCCTTTATAACTTGTTAAGCCGACCAGAATCACCTTATAAGGGAGGTGTGTGGCGTAGAAATTTAATAAATTAATTTATAAAAAAATAAAAAAATAAAATAAAACCATCATGAGACGTGGCAGTGGTAGAGGATGCATCAAATTTAATTTTTAGTATGGCAGATATTTGTCAATATAATGTTCTTTTGGGGGTCCTCCATAATTTTTAAAAGAGGAAAGGGGACCTGAGTGGGGAAAAAAACCACACTAATGTAGATAAATGCAACCATTATGCTGCATCTCAGGTTTTTTCAGTCTTTTCTCATTGATACAAGCCGACCACCTCCCCTCTCTCCCTGATGTTGGAAGAAATGTCCATCTGGGTTCAGTTCCATATGAGGAGAAAGACACTGGAAACATGGAGGCTGTTTGGAAAGATGGTTTTAATGGCGGACAGGACCACATGGTTTGAGGTCCTGAGGGAAAGGGGGATCACATCAGGGATGGGTGGCTGCCCGACGTTGCTTTCAGTTTGCTTTGCACAGTTGCCTGTAAATTGTTCTGCGCATGTGCAGAACATGAAAAAATGCGTGAAAAAACAAGCCGGTAACGGCAGCAGTAACTGGGGAACCAGTCTGGGGGGCGTGGCCAGCCTGCCGTCCCTATCAGTTCAACGACCCAGTCCCAATTTCCACTACCGGTTTGCCTGAACCAGTACGAACCGGTAGCAGCCCACCTCTGGATCACACGCCTGGATGGTCTTAAAGAAAAAAAAGGGAAGAGATGCTGAGGGAGCCTGAGTTTTATATCCTCTCTTGGGCCCCGCCGTGGAACTTCCTGTTCCTGTCCAAGAAATGTATCCCATTGGCTGTCAGACTCCCAGGGGGAGGGGTTTTGGCTAACTTTTTAGGCTGTCTGTGTCCCAGGCTTGGTTGAGTCTTGCTGGTGATCCCCTGGTGCCATGTGGCGAGTTCTTTTGCTAAATGGGTAGAGGACTAATCCTATCATGTCCTGAAGGCCATGTCTTAATCCCATCACCCTTGAGTTGAAGGGCAGGCAGGGAGCTGCAGGAAGCAGCTTTGTCTTTAAAACTTGTCTCTCCTTTTCTCATCCAGGGAAATATAATATTCTGCCTTTTTAATATTTCCTAAAATATTTCATTTGTCTAGGAGAGGGGTGGGTGCTAATGTCCTTCACTGCCAACTTTTTCCATTACCAAGGGCTATAAAATAGCATAGATATAATTGATTTTGCTGAAGGGAACAGAGTGGAAACGTCTGATGTTGGGTATGTACAGTATGTGTATATAAAATGAATTCATTCTTTCAGCATTCTTACTATGCTGCTTCCTGCCTTTTCAACGTGCTGCTAATAATTTGGCAGATTGTGCCAGATTTCAGCTGCTAGGGAAAGGGGTCCAGGAGAGCCCTCAAAAGAGAAGGGGTTGGAAGCTGCAAATGCCCCAGAAATTGATAAGTTACGTCAATGAATTTACTTTCCAAATGTATTACTATATGAGTGGTTCAGAGAAAAAAGTTATCAGAGAAGAACAAGTAAGATGATCAAAGGTCTGGAGACTAAACCATATGAAGAAACGGCTGCAGGATTTGGTCTTGGCTAGTCTAGAGAAAATAAGAATTAGGGGTGACATGATAGCAGTCTTCCAGTATTTGAAGGGCTGCCACAAAGAAGAGGGGGTCAAATTATTCCCCAAAGCACCAGAAGGCAAAACAAGAAATAATGGTTGGAAACTGATCAAAGAGAGAAGCAACTTGGAATTAAGGATTAATTGTCCTCACTGTTAGGAAGTTTATCAGTAGAACAGCTTGCCTTCAGAAATTGTGGTACTTTATCACTGGAGGTTTTTAAGAAGAGACTAAGAAGAGCCACATATCTGAAATAGTATAGGTTCTCCTGCTTGAGCAGGGGGCTGGACTAGAAGACCTCCAAGGTCCCTTCCAGCTCTATTCTATTCTTCTATTATTATTCTTTCTGCAAAGTCCTTCAATTTGCCAGACTTAATTGTGGCCAAGCTTGGAAATTTCTCGGTGGAAAGAATCAGAGTTTGCCCCTTTAAATGAGCCCAGAAATTGTTAAGTGGCTTATACCATAAAAAGATATTTCTCCAAGGAAACCTCTGAATAAATGATTAAGTTATGGAAGTGAGATTCCAACTGAACAAGAAAAAAAAATCCAACACATCAGAACAATTTGGCAGAAGAAGCAATGACAGAAGGAGATGGTGCACTTCTGTTACAGAAGACGTACATGCACAAGCTGGACCACCATCTGCATGGAAAGATTCAATTTGGACTCTTGCCCTCAGCATTGGTGTTGGTCTCAATGGGCTTCCAACTGTTGGATTCCAAGATAGGCCTCTTGCTTGGCAAACACCTATTACAAGTACAAGGAGTGGCTCAGTGGCTAAGACGCTGAGCTTGTCTATCAGAAAGGTCGGCAGTTTGGCAGTTTGAATCCCTAGCGCTGCATAACGGAGTGAGCTCTCCCATTACTTGTCCCAGCTTCTGCCAACCTAGCAGTTCGAAAGCACGTAAAAAATGCAAGTAGAAAAATAGGAACCACCTTTGGTGGGAAGGGAACAGTGCTCCGTGCGCCTTCGGCGTTTAGTCATGCCAGCCACATGACCACGGAGACGTCTTCGGACAGCGCTGGCTCTTCGTCCTTGAAATGGGGATGAGCACCACCCCCTAGAGCCGGGAACAACTAGTACGTATGTGAGTGGAGAACCTTTTCCTTTAGTACAAGAAGGCCTACCAATTGTGTTCTGTGAAAAAAAATTAAAAGAAGGTGTTCCTCTTCCTTGCACATTTTGAAAATGGAGAAACCTCAACCAAAGAACAAGGTGATGTATAGTATCAAACACCAGCACGGAATTTCAGACAGTTTACTGTATGTATGCAGCATGTAATTCCCTTACAAAAGAAGCACAAATTGGTCTTGACTTATGGTCATTCACTTAACAACCAAAGTTACAACAGTCTTAGAAAAAAACACTTCATGAACCTTTATTCACATTTATACCCCCATGGCCATGCGATCGGTTAATTTTATTATTGGACTGGGTTGCCATTTTATATTTTGTGAATGGTTCGGTTGACATCAGCATATGTGGGACTGATTCGGGTAGATTTTAAGGGTGACACTGAAATATAATTTTATCAAAGGGTATTTATCCATATATTAAATCATTGTATATTATTCTATGGTCATTTTAAATTGCATATTTATTCCAATTTCATTTTAAATTGCATTTTATTCCAATTGCATTTTAAATTGTTTTTATCAGTTTTTAGTAATAATTTTTCTTTGGAACTCTGCACTTTGATACAATTAGCCATGGGCTAATCAATAAAGTAACCTAACTATATTTTGGGTTTACATAATTATGTAATGTGCTTGGGCCTTTTTTCCTGCTGTAAACTACCAGCCAAATAATTTAAATAGCTTTCTAAAGAGAGAGAGGGAGGGAGGGAGAGAGGGAGAGACAGAGAGAGAGGGAGAGACAGAGAGAGGGAGAGAGAGGGAGGGACACACAAACACAGATACACACACAGTAAAAAAACAAACAAACAAACGTTGTTGTAGTCAGAAGTTTTTAAACCTTGCCTTCAACCACAATAGCAAAATGCATCTGTCCACTAGACCCCTGGTCTACAATCAAATATCCCAAACATGATATGGGTGGCTATGCAATAAATAAATTGAGTAAATAAAACTTGTACTCTGCTGCAAACTTGAAGCTTAAGGCCTAGGGCAGACAGAATGTGGCTACGGCTCTTTGAAGTGTGTTATGCACAATGCAGAAGAGCCAATGTGTCCATTTCTTCTTCCTGTGGTTTATTGGCGTGTGAGACTGGCGTCTCTATTCTGCCCTAGGAGAAACCATTAAAGTACTTCTGTACTCCATTGGTATCCTGTCTCCCCTACTTTTATTTCCACAACAGCTAGCCTGCGGGGGGGGGAGGGAGGGAGGGAGGGAGGGAGGGAGGGAG